TATATATATGTGTGGCGATATATATCTCCACACACATACACATTAAAGGCTGGTCTTGAAAAGTTATTTTTGCCACTACTCTGCCTGCAAGACATTGCTGTCATTTTGACAGCTGTCTGCTCTGGGTAACAGGAGCTCCACTTTTGGTGTTATCCAAAGGGCTCAGATGTCACTTTAACAGTTGGTCCCTGTGCATCAGAAGGGCTGACAACATCAGCCCTTGGGACGAAGAAGGGGAGTCCGTGTCTATGAACCTAGTGGCAGATTATATTATCAGCAATTACAGGTACCTACCTGACATGCCGTTATTATAATACACTACTAGTATGCACCAAATGCCTCTATCTGTAATTGGCAGCAGTGTCTTTGGATGTAGGTGGAGTGATCTTCTGCCCAACACTGTCTGCATAGTTCTTCTAGGTAAGTAACCACTGTGACCTACCTTTTCCTTGTCACTGGCTTCTCTGCACACAGTAGAACCCTGGAACAATATAGAAAAGAAGAGATTAGAGGGCCACGATACTTCCAGCACAAAAGATGTAGGAGATATATGATGGCTGCATACCTTTAAGTCATATTTGCGGTGAACCCCAAGGCGGTGGCTGAACACATTCCTCGTGACCACCATGTATGTCTCAACCCCATCGACTGTTAGTCGGTACATGCCAAGAAACTGAGGAAGCAGAGTGTTACCATGACACTCCACTATAAACTGTTGTGGAAAAAATGAAAAAAAAGTCACAGATTTATGGTCAATAAAAACACTTTTTAGCATCCTAACTGATACACATACTTTCTGAAATGTGACTACTTTGGACCCCACTTATCTTTCCTGTTTAGGGAGAATTGATGATCCCTGTTGAATCACATTTTCAGACTCCATTTTGTCAGTGTAGTATTATGCTTAATGAAACATATTATGGAATGAATCTCATAAGTAAGACTGTTGCTGTTTTGCTCTTAAAATTCCCTAATCATTATTGGTGCCCTGGTGCCTCAGATGGTTGAAGCCCCAGGTTTTCTAATTCTGTCAACAGCTGGATTCTCAGATAAAAGGCGCCTGGGTGAGTATTCTCACTATCATGTCTAGAGAATCCTGCTGTTGGAGGAAGTAGATAATTTGTGGGTCTACACATCATCTAAGAACCTCTGTGAGTAGTTTTATGTTATATGTTTGTTTGTCTTTATGCTGTTCTATATAATTGTACTGTCTAAAATGTAACTAACCTTGTGTAAGTGGGTTCCAGCTGGAAGCAGCCATAAGGGTTGCTTACCTTTTTAGGGCTCTGCCTCAAGAATGTCTGTGAAGGTTCTCATTCATCCAGGTCAAGGTATATCTGTAAAAAATAAGACAAGCCAACTGGACTTGCTGTATTTTTCGTGAAGACGTTTCACTGGTCATCCAACCAGCGTTCCCAATTCAGATTGACTTGTACAAAAAATTATCTGGAAATAAATATGGTGAATGTTGCTCCAATCCACATAATTTGTTAGTCACAACCATGTGTTGATTGCATTTGCATTATGGGAGTCTAGGCGGTGTTATTAATCTGCCCAGAGAGAGGTGTTAAAACATTGTATGTGGCAGACAATAGATGTCTCACCCCCCCCCCATATTTGACTGTCTGCAAAGGAGTGACTTTTTTCCTTTAGTTGTAGGTATACTGATGAATCCTGACCAGAGGGTTTGGCTCTTCTATGCTGTGCCATACGCTGGTGTAGCTGCTGTTTTGTTTCACCGACATGCAATTCTGAGCACTCCTCACTGCACTGGACTGCATACACAATGTTGTTCATCTTGTATTTTAACGTTGGGTCTTTTGGGTGAACCAGTTGTTGCCTCAGTGTATTGCTGGGTTTAAAGCAGACAGGGATGTGATGTTTTTTAAAAACCCTTCTGAGTTTCTCAGATACCCCACCTACATATAGGATAAACAAATTCTTCAGTCTGTCATGCTTTTCACCCTCACTGGTACTCTTGGCATTCTTTCCTCTCCTTTTTTCTGTTTTTAAAAAAGCCCAGTCTGGACACCCGCAAGTTTTAAGGGCTCCCTAAGGTGTTTGAATTCTTTTGTCTTGGCCTCTGTTCTGGTGGGAATTTCAAGAAAATACCTTCAAGGAAAATACAAGTCCAGTTGCCCTGACTTATTTTTTACAGATCTGCCTCAAGAAGAATAAAGAAGAGTACAGCGTTTTGAAGGTGAGCAAATGGTGAATGAAAGTGAAATTTGTTTTTGTCATGTAATACTAACATGCAAGTATATATAAATTTTATCTAAAGCTATCATTGACTTAGAGTTGCTGTGAAAGGTTTGACAAACAGAAAGGTGTAACTGTTTCCATCTTTATTTTTAATTTCTTCTTTTATGATTGTGTCCTGCGTAAGTGTATTTCTGCTGTGTTATTTGCTATGGGAGACGGTCTGGATTAAATATCATACAGTACTGCTCTGAAGCCTTGTTTTGAATATCTATCCTTGACTTTCCTTTTATTCCATTTCCAAAGCATTCTCTATAAACTGAAATGTAAATGAACAACTATGCTGCTATCTAAAATTCTACACTGTCTCTAGAGCTAAAAGTTTAGACGTTGGTAAACTGTAGTCCTACCAAAGGTTTAACAAGGGGCCAAATTGCACAGTTATACTTCGAGGGCCAGAATAAGGTAAATATATGTACTGTTGAAGATGCTGAACGACTCTACTCCTAAATGAAATATTTTATATTTGTTGCTTGGCAATTAGCAATAGTTCTTCATAAGCCTCAGTCATAAGCAGAGGGCCCCTTGGAATTAATAAAACGAGTCTGCAAAGGCTAGAGGAGTATTATCTCTTGCTGATGTATCTGGACAAAAAGACAGGCCTGTGTGATCCATTTGTGTCTTATAACATTTGTAAGAGGTTAGGAGTATTAACAGGCACTATGTTCGTTCAGAAGGAAGAGGAAAGAATGCCAAGAGTACCAGTGAGAGTGAAAAGCATGACAAACTGAAAGAATTTGGTTATCCCATATGTAGCTGGGGTGTTTGAGAAACTCAGAAGGGGTTTTAAAAAAACATCACATTACTGTCTGCTTTAAACCCAGTAATACGCTAAGGCAACAACTGGTTCACACAAAACACCCAACGCCAAAAAACAAGATGAACAACATTGTGTATGCAGTCCAGTGCAGTGAGGAGTGCTCAGAATTGTATGTCGGTGAAACAAAACAGCAGCTACACCAGCGTATGGCACAGCATAGAAGAGCAAAACCTTCTGGTCAGGATTCAGCATTGAGCTGCAAGTTTGAAAATTACTTGCTAAACTATTGCTAGACTTGCCAAGCTTCACAATTTTGTTGCACAATTACAGCAAATCTGCATTGCAAGTCTCCAGATCAACGTGCTTTGCAAAGGTTCTGTACACTTGCAGA